GTATTTACATAATTCTGCACACGTCCTTTTCAAATACTTAACGGCAGGTGTGACGTCATACCGACGCCCTAGGGGGATGGGAGTGGTTTCACAGCACCCAGTTGATTGGTATGTCTAGGTATATACTGTTGTATGTCTTTCACTTCACTGTTATCTCTAAGCCTGATGAAGGGGACCCTGCGAGGCCCCGAAAGCGCTTGCCAATGAGATACAGCTACTGGCAATAAAATATTTTGCTTTTTCAACTCATGGTGTGCTGGTGACATTTTTCTACTGTAAATAATTGGGGACACATAGTACTATGTGTCCCCAGTTATGAATGAACAGGATGTGATTTACTCTCCCCATGTGCAACGTTGGCCACACGAGCACAACGGGAGAACAGGTCGCCGGGGCCTCTAGGACGCACTGAAATGTAATCCGGCCGACTCCCTGCATTCAGGGGTGGGAGGGGGTGTGGGGTTGTATTTAAGTCAATGGCACCGCAGCCATGCCCCCCGCCCACAGTCCAATTGCCTGCACCCGGAACACAGGCACATTAGTGCCTGCATTCTGGTACAGTGCGATCTGCAAAAATAGTGCTCGCAGCATTTTTCCGGATCGCACTGGACTGGAACGCAGGCACTAATGTGCCTGGGTTCCGGGTGCAGGCGATCGCACTGTGGGCGAGGGGCCTGCCTGTGGTGCCATTGACTTCAATGCACCGCCACGCCCCCTCCCGCCCCTGAATGGAGGTGTTTTTTCCTTGGTAAATCTCATTGAGCTTGTCATTTGAAAAGTAGATCTCCAGACGAAAAATTGTGGGCGCCCCTGACTTACAGGGTTATTCACAAAAGGGTGAAGAGTCTGGAGAGGGCAGGAGAAGGGAACAATCTAGGACAGTGGTGGCAAACCTTGGCACTCCAGCTGTTCCACAACTACAAATCCCAACATGCATCTGCCTCTGGGAGTTATGTCTGTGGCTGTCAGAGCCTTGCAATGCCTCATGGGACTTGTAGTTCCAAAACAGCTAGAGTGCCAAGGTTCGCCACCCCTGATCTTGGACAACATAGCTGAACTGGAAAGTGGGCTGAATTTGGAGAATGTTTCCAAATCAGCTGTTATCCTAGATTGTTCACTTCTCCTTCCTTCTCCAAACTCTTCACCCTTTTAGTTTTGGTAAATCTAAAGTTCATTGCACAAAGCTGTGTGGTCAGATTGTAAAAGTGTTATGACCATAAGCCTGCATTCACACTAAGCAGAGCATATTTCGTGTGTTTTTCAAGTTTTTTTTGCATGTTTTTCACTAGTTTATGTATGTGCTAATACGGACGTTTTAACGTTTTTTTTAACAAGTGTTTTTGCAGCTACATTAAAGAAATCTGGGCTTTTTGAAAAGTAACCCTTGAAGTGGAGCTACCCCCTGCACTGCAAAGGTTAACTATTCGCTTTGGTCTAGGGACTAAAAAAAATAAAATATACTCACCTGATCCTTGGTCCTGGAGCCTGGCTGCTAGAGTGGTCCGAGCAGCCTCTTTACCCCCTGTCCAAGGACCTGTGACATCATCGGGGTCTAACACAAGTCCATTGACTTGCAGTGGATCTGAGGATGCCAAGAGACATTCCACAGCCTAAGTGGAGGGGGGAGAGAGGTGAGCACTCACCGCAGCAGGACTGAGGATCAGGTGAGTGCATCTTCTTTATCCTGGCCCCTAGACCCAACGGGGGCACTTAAACCTTGCAGTGCGGGGGTAGCCACACTGCACAGGTTCACTTTTTAAATGCCCAGAGTTCTTCTTTAAGGCTTAGGCTCAAAAAAAAGGCTCATGTACTTTTCTGGAACATAGGGCGACTGAGTGTGACCAGGGACAATTGAAAAGAATAGGATTCTGTATGTTGAGTGTAGTCAGGAGTAGGGAAAGAAGCTGAACTATGAATGGGGTTTTATTAGGGCTGAAAGCATTCAATAACTCTGCTAGCAGAGAGGGCGTGTCCAGGAAGCGAACTGCAGAATAGATAACAGTTCCACGTGACATGTGAAGTCACCGGAAGTCTCGCGCTGTGAGCAACACTGTCGGTGCTCCGGGCGGGGTTTTTACGTTGCCTGGGCGGAGACAGCTGTCAAGCTGCGGCGGACTAGGCAGGGACTGGCCATGTCAGGTGCAGTAGGCGGGGCAGTCGGGCGCCGTGCTCGGTGTTATGGAGGCGGCTGCGGGCTCTGTGAATGAATTCTCCGGGCGGAAAAGGGAACAAGAAGAAGCCGGTGACCCCAGCGGCAGAGACAGGTCCCGGGCCCCCGGCTCGCTCGGAGGCTTCGCTGCATAAGCGAAACGTGTACGTGTTCTCGTACCCACTGCTCGCCGTCTTCTCTCTGCTCCGCTTCCTCGCCTTCCAGCTCGGCTTGCTGTTCGCCTGGTGCTGCGAGCGGCTCTCCCGCAGAGTCATGGCAGACAAGAAGAACGCTGCGGCCCGGAGCCTGGTTGAGCAGGGCGCTCCCTCTGTCAAGACGGCCGCCGCTCAGGACAGACCGGGCAATGAGCCTGAAGTGGTGCGGGGCTATCACCAGCAGGCCTTCCACTACATCTCCATGGCGCTGCGCATCGATGAGCAGGAGAAAGGTAAGGATGTACCCCACGGCCTGCTGTCTGTGTGCGATGACAATGGATGTGACGTCACCTCTTCCTATGTGTGATCACAACAAGCGTTTGGGGAAGGTGTACACATGGCTTCCCAATCCATGAATCAGACACTCACATTTCTGGTTTATAATGTGCTACCTTTAGTCTGTTCACGTGACACTTTATGCACTTTGACCATCGCACCACAATAGGAATTTATTTTCTGTTGTCTGCAGATTGGAAAAGAGAGTTCTGTAATCCAGTCTATAAGAGCTCATACAGACGTGTGATTAGGCCTGGACAGCCATGTGGACAGTCATGTGGCTGGGATCACAAGTCTATGTCATCAGCTGCGGCCGGAAAGTCTGTATAAAGCAATGACAGGAGCTGCAGCTGTCTGCATGTGTCTGCACATCCTACGGTTACCTGCGATCAAGGACAGATGTCTGACCCTGGGTGTGATCTGTTTGGACATCTGCCCCTTTATCCAAGGTTGGACAAATCCCAGGAGCCAGGTAACCAACACTCCTTAATGAAGAACTCTGGCCTGAATTTTTATTAACCCTTGCAGTGGGGCTATTCATTTTGTCTAGTGACTAAAAAAAAAAGTTATACTTACCTGATCCTCAGAGCCAGCCTGCTGTTAGACCGGTCCTTCGAGCCTCTCTCCCGTACCAGCTGAAGTGGTTAAAAGGAGAACTATGGGGTTAAGGCTTTTCCCCATAGTTCTCCTTAGGGTAACGGGAGGACACAAACTAGTGTCCTCCCGTCACCCTAGGCTCAGTATACCGCGAGCTGTAGCTCGCGGTATACTGAGATGCCGCAGGTGAGCGAACGCCGGTATGTGTTTGCTCACCTCCCGATCTACTGAGCCGACCTGTAACCGTCTCATTGTCACAGGTCGGCTAGAACTATGAGGTGAGTGAAAAGCACTCACCTCATAGTTCTCCTTTAAGGATCCTCGAGTCATCATGTCCAATACTCTGTGTATTAGGGATGTCCCGATGCCACTTTTTCAGGCCCAAGTACAAGTACATCCTCTCATGTACTTGCCGATACCAATTACCGATATTTTTTCTTAAAGGGACAGGTGACTTTAGATGATCCATAGTACAACTACATGTTATGTACTATGGGTCATGGTTTAACCTATTCATGTTAGCAGCGGAGAATTGTAACTCTATTGCTGGAGTGTAGTATAGGTGTGTGCTCTATATATGTTTTGTCAAAATGCCCTGTATCGGGCCCGATTCCGATGCTAGCATCGGTATCGGGACATCCCTACTGTGTATATAGAGAAATACCATCGCTGCAGAATTGGAGGGAGCGTTGTGACAGCCGGCTGACTCCAAGGTTTGGGTGAGCATAACTTTTTAAAATGTTAGTCTCAAGATGAAACCAAGCAGTTAACCCTTGTGCAAGGGTAGCCCCACTGCAAGGTTACTCGCACATTTTCCTGGTGTTTTTAAAAGATTTCGGCTGGCACCTAACTTTTGAGGGTTTTTTTTTTTTTTAAAGTTGTCAGTATCTGGCTCTTAAAGAATCCTGTTGGCTCCTGGATTGGACAGACTGCCTCTTGAATTCCACATTAATTTGTCCACCCCTGTCCTAATCACAGGTAACCGGTACCTTTGGCTCCTGTCTTTGCTTTGTACAGACTTCTCAGCCACAATTGTTCGCAACCACCTGTGATCTCAGCCGCAGGAATCCGCACTGTGGCCCTAATCGCACCCTAAATCTGTTGTGATGGGATTGTGTTTTCTCATGGCAGTACCATCTAAAGCAGGGGTGTCAAACTCAATTTAATTGTGGGCCGCATCAACATTATGGTTGCCCTCAAAGGGCCTGTAAGACTATAAAAATGTATCTAATCTTCATCATACTTGCCTCTGCATTCGATTATCACTGGTTTTAGTAATAACTTGATACCTAGATCTGAAAGTAGAAGTCTAGGAAATGGCCTGGTGGGCCAGATTCGGCCCCTGGGCCTTGAGTTTGACACATGTGATCTAAAGAGACCTTGCTCTGCATTGTATGCGAGTACACCGTGAGCTGGTCCACAACCCGAAGGAGAGTTGAGCGCCAACTGCCTTGGAGGCAATGGATTTGGGTGAGCTAAAGTCCTTTTTCCTGCTACCCTAGGCATAAATGAGCATTTAACCCATGCAGTGCAGGGTGGAAACCTCTCTTGAAGGGTATTTTTGTTTTCTGTGGAGTTCAGCTTTAAACTGCAGAATGGATATGAACCAGCCTTATAGAAAATAATGTGATTCAAAATCCATTTTTCTTGCAGCAAAATATGAGTGTTGCTGCATAAAAAGGTCATCTGACCGTGCTGACCAATGAGAAGTGTTTTTTTTTTAAATATCAAGTAGTGCTTCTCATTGGTGAGGTTGGCCAAAAGGGCTTCTCATTGGTCAGGTGACCATGTTGAACAATGAGTGCTTGCCATTTGTAAGCGATATTTTGAAAGTATAGCACAGGGTCGCAATGCTATGTACGGAGTACAGATGGCAAACTAGCAGCCGCAGAGGGGAAAAGGAGTGTTCAGTTAATGGTAATAGTAGCGGGATGGAGGGGTGCAAAGGTGGACAGATTTTGGTTTGGGTAGTTCCATGTTCCCAAATTCTCCTTTAGAAAGTGGAATGACCCTTTAAGGAAGCATATTCATTATGAATGGTGTGCATAGAATGGAGAGGGAAAGGAAGATTCACTTTCTTTACCTTTCCTGGTGCCCATTATCACTGCAATAGTCCCAAATTTTGGGTTGTGAACCTGCTGATCACCAGTCATTTCCCTCACTTTGGAAGGATTACCTCTGACTTCCTGTTGTTGCTCTTGGACAGGAAGTGAAGGAAAATCTCCTCAATGGGGACACAGGTGGCAAAAAAAAAGCTTATAGGGGTTAAAACCCTCAATAACTCTATTCGAAACAAACGAAAACAAGTTTTGGCTTCAGTTCTACTTTAAGATGCTTCATGTTGCATTTTTGTGATCGCTTGAACATACACCAAATTATGATCGGGTAAAGTTATCACTGTGTGCTGATTAGACAGCTGAATATTGCAGTATGTGGTTGGACAGATATGTAAAAAGACAACTGTGTTGTTTTGGCAGGGTTGGCCTGCAGATGGCCATTTACTCTTCTGGCATGGTGTTTGCTTATCCGTCCCATCCAGGCTTATAGTTTGTGCTGATTCAGATGACTAGTGGCTGATCAGCTGAGGTCTGTCGAGCAGTTTTGTATGATCTATAAAGAAAGACCAGTAGTTTAACAGCTCCCTATATTGAACGTTCGTCAGCATTGATCCAATAACAGGGTTTTTGTTATTGTAATTAGTATTATCTCTTTGAATATTATAACAGAACAAAACAAATCATCAGTCATTGCTGTAAATGACTGAACACTCTGGAGGAATACTATAGCTTAAAATACTATAATGTTAGAATTTTAAAGGTCATTACTGTATTGTTTGTTTATATTATATGTTATTGTTTTTTCTCATGACATTGACTATAAAATGAAATTGGCAGTCATTAGATCTTTTTGAAAATGTGAAGTTTTTGAGCTGACAAGCCGCTTACCGCTCAAAAATTAACCATTTCAGCAGGAAATTGCAGAATTGTAAGCCATGTATGTCCATCTTAGGGGTGTGCTGCTTTTTTCTCTGTGACAAATCTGCATTTTAGTTTAAATTATGTGAATGATGATGTCTTGTCAGTTTTATGTGTCATTTCTTTTATCTGTAGGCACTGTTTGATTTTGTGTCGTTCTAAATATATATATTTCATTAAAAAAAACACACCTGGTGATCCTACTATGAAGGTCCTTGTACAGGCACTTCCTTTTATGGGGTGACAACGTCTTCCACTTGTGGTCTTGTGTTCTCGTCATCTTCTTGCATAGAACCGTAATGTAGACCAGGCCTTCTTAAATTTTTTCCACGGGTGACCCCTTTTCAGGCAAGGACATTTTTACGTGACCCCCAGCATTGGTCGGTTTCTCTCAGCGCCCATCGGCCAGTGTTTCTCCCCTCCCCGAGCCCAGCATCGGCTAGTTTCTCTCCCCCGTCGTGGGCCAGTGTCTCTCTCCAGCCAGGAAGGTACCAAGTGCACAGTGGGGGCCCGAGACCTTGCCAAGTATGCTGCACATATTAATCGATACTAAAAAAAAATCTTGCTTGTAGCCTGGGCCTCCCTTGCCACCTGGGCCCCTCACACAAGTACTGGCCTACCCCCCTGGTGGCAGCCCTCTTTAAGGACCCCTGATGTAGACTACAGACAGCTGTACCAGCACATGTGCAGAAATTGTCCACTGTTGTCACCATCAGAAATCTTGTCCGATGCATTGATGTGCAGCTGACTCTGGAGGAAGTGTCCTCAATCTCTTTTTCTATTTTAAAAGTGAAATATCTGGGATCTGTTTAGACCCCTAATATTTCCCCCGACGCCCCTAAAAGTAAAGATTTAAAAATGAATAAATAAAAATATTTAAAAAAATAAGTTTATAAAAAATAAATAAAAATAAAATATAAAAACGATTTGAAAAAATGGCCTGACAATTTTTTTATTTTATTTCTGTTTCGTTTCGGTTTTTACTTTTCTATTTTGGTGCACCTCTAGTTTACACACTGGTCTCAGAAAATCATTTGCGATATACCTATTGTCCGTGTTTAGTGAATACACAGGATTAATGGATCATTAACTCAAACACATATGGTACCCTTGTCAAGATCTATTAGGTCACTTGGTAGAGCAAGCGTATCTGAACATCATGCTCTCTATTGTTCTGTCTTTTTCAGGCCTTTGTTGTGGTTTGCGGGTTGTAGGAACCACATCAGCCAGATCTATACACTGTTGTTCCTGTGTGTCTTTCTAAAATGATGTGCAGTGTGAACAAGCTGTAAATTCTTTTATCTGGAAGACATTGTGCTTTTTTTTCGTAAATGTAGTAATGATATTAAAACACAGGCGAGCCTAGGGTTTCTATAAGAATATAATACAGGAGTGAACAAAATATTATGGAGGTCAGGAGGCAGCCTGTGCAATCCAGGAGCCTACAGGATCTGTTTTTTGGAGCCAGCTCCATTGACAACAATAAGATAAAACCACCTCACCAGCTGTAATTTATAAACCTGGCTCCTGGGATTTGTGCAGCCCTGCTATAATACATTCATGAAAAACTCAGAGAAGAACCCAAAGTGGCTCTTGGGGCTCGTTCATACCAGATGCATTGGGCTGAGCTGGGAAAGGCAGTCCCAATGAATAGACAAGGCAGTTTTCTGTGATGTGTCCTGAAAAAAAAGCACTGAATGTAGTACCCCACACTGCATCACAATACTCTGGGGGGGGGGTCACTTTGTGATATTTCAATAAAGTTATCAAAAAAGGTAAACGGTGTGATACACTGAAATTTACATCTCACCGCTTCCCTTCAGTGCACATCAGCGGCTTTTATAGTGCGCCCTGTCAGTATGAACGGAGCCTTCAGCTGGCCATATACCTTTTTTGTTAGATTTTTTCTTTTTTTTTCTTCGATTTGAGGGAACGGATTTTAGTTTGCTCATGTGCGGTGTTGATGTTGCGATTTGAGCCCCCCCCCCTCCGGAATTCTGCTGTAACCTCCCTGGAGGTAATCCCGAATGTGGCTCAGGTTTAATTTTCAGTACCAAAAGCGGTAACCCTGAGCCACACTCGGGATTGCAGAAAAGGGTCACTTACCTTGTCCTTGCGAGCCCGCGGTGTCCTCTTCTGTACGCGTTCGGCTTTCAGTTTCGTTTTCGGTGTCACAGCGGGAGTTTTCAAAAGTGAAAACATGACATTTACACAGAATACACACAATACAATGTAATCTGCTATGATTACACTTCTGTATCAAACTATTTCACTTCAATTTTGTCCCTAGAGCTTTGTCCACTGCCCTGCCTGCCCTTTTACTGTTCTTTCTGCCTGGAAACTTGTGAACGTCCATGGCATCCAAAAATGTCCCTTTAGGTCAAAAGCGGTTTTAACCAGCTAGAAAACAGCGATAGTAAATTAGAATCACTTGCAGAATTGAGTGATAGCGATTCGTTGGGAAATTCGTCATCAGACACTGAAAGTGACGACAGCGACGATTCTGCGACCGAGCTCAGTGATGTGCGAACTTGGTACTCTATTGACTGTGGTACGGATCAGGCAACGCCCCCAGAATTCCCATTTACTGGACCAATTTTTAAATTATTATATTATAATTTTGTATAATTATTTATTATATTATAATTTCTTATTATTGTATTACAATTTTATGATTTTCGTGTTTCAAACTTTATCATACCCAGGATGTCTACTGGACTATTGGTTGGACAGATTTAGGTGAGTTAGTCCTAAGATTTACAGGCCTACAATATAAAACAACAAATTGCCATAAAAAACAATGTAACGCTTTGGCATGCTAAAATCCTCCATAATCAGACCGCCAGGGAGGTTAACAGGGTTACTTCAGGTGCAGACAAATGAATATGAAATTCAGGAGCCAGCCTGTCCAATCTAGGAGATTTTTAGGAGCCAGCTTTATTGAGAAAACCTCAAATGTAAGGCCCGGTTCACACCTGGGCGTTTTGTAGCGCGTTCCTACGCTCTGCAAAACGCTCAAACACCGAAATCCCATTATTTCCTATGGGTATGGTTCACACCTGGGCGTATTACAGGCCGTATGAACGCGCTACAAAACGCCCTATGCCCAAAGAAGTACAGGAGCTTCTTTGGGGCGTTTTTGTCGCGCGTTTCCATTGGGATACAGCCAAGTAGGCCTCGTAAACGCGCGTTTGTCGCGTGGTTTTTACAGTGAATCGTGCGACACACGCGCATGTTCGATACGCCTAGGTGTGAACCCAGCCTTAGTGAGCAGCTGTAATTTTTAGGAAGCAATGGTTAACTGGCCCTGGTTTACCGGCATAGTCGCCAGAAAGTGAGGAAAAAGCCTGAGAAGTGAAAACGAATGCAGCCACCACATCGAAGTACTGGTACACTAAATGATATTGTATTACATTTCTGTTCTTGGGTTTAGATGGACTTTAACAAACAAAGTGCAACATACAGAAAAGAGGAAATGGCAGTTCTGTACCTGGGAATATGATGAATGGATGTGAATGTGTGTAATGATTTACTAATACTATACATTTCAATTGTTTGTAATATTTAATATGAATTTTGTCTTCATTGTAGATCAAAAGGATCAAGCTGTGGAATGGTACAAGAAAGGAATTCAGGAGCTGGAGAAAGGAATTGCAGTTCCAGTCATAGGGCAAGGTAACTCATTTCATGCATGCTATTGTCTATATAGTTAAAGAAGAACTACGGGCTACATTTTTTTTAAAATTTATTAACCCTTGCAGTAGGTCTACCCCCAAACTGTAAAGGAATAACTGCTTGCTTTGGAGAAAAATAGAAAGTTTAAACTCGCCTGATTTTCAGACCCGGCTTGCCCTTCGACCAGACCTTCCAACCTTGCTCCACCTCCACACTGCAGTGGTCTTAGGTCCCTGAGTCCTCACATTCTATTCACAGAAGGGAATTTATCAAAACTGGAGCAAACAAAATCTGGAGCAGCTGTGCATAGCAACCAATCAGCTTCTCTCTTTCATTTTACAATATTAACTGAAGAGAGAAGCTGATTGGTTACCATGGACAGCTGCTCCACATTTTGTCTGCTCTAGTTTTGATAAATTCCCCTCAGTGTGTATAGGACGTGAGAAGCCGAGAGACATACCATCACTGGAGTGTAGGAGGAGTTGGGCTGGAGGGACGCTGTCACAGCCAGCCATCTCTGAGGTTCGAGTGAGGTATAATTTTTTTAAAATTATTATTATTTTCCACCCTAGACCAAAACATATAACTACACTGCAAGGGTTGATTAAAAAAAAATGTGCCTACAGTTCTTGAAAGAAGAGCTTTTATTTAGGGTTTTCTGCAGCAGTCATTACTGTCTAAATCCTCACGTTTTTTTGCATACATCTACTGCTAGCAAGCATCCGAAAATGCTCGGGTGGCCGCAAAGCATCTTGGGGCGGGCGCATGCGCAGTTCGGATTTTTGGCCGGGAGACAAGGAGAGACACAAGGTAAGTATATGGACGTGTGCACCCGCATGCAGACACCATGGGACAGGAAGTGCCAGCAAGGACAGAGGAGTCAGCGCTGGATCGGAGACCCGCCGCAGTGCCGGAGAGAAGGCTGAGAAGGACAGGAAAGAAGAGGAAGATTGGATTAATTTAAGGTAAGTTCTTTAACATTGGGGGGAGGGAAAGAAGTTTTTACTTTTAATGTCACTTTAAATCATCCTGGCACTCAGCAGGGCTTGTACACTGAGTTACTTGTGTACATTCACAAAAGACATTGGTGGGAAGCAGCATTTTTGGAGAAGACATACAGAAAGGGGAATTTATTAAACGTGGAGCAAACAAAACCTGTAGCAGCTGCCCATGGCAACCAATCAACTTCTGTCTTTCAGTTTCAAAGTTTAACTGAACAAACTGAAGTGGGAAGCTGATTGGTCACTATGCACAGCTGCTCCAGTTTTGATAAATCCCCCCCCCGTAGTTTCTTCGGCAATGTGTTGTAGAATTGAGTTTGGTTGCACTTTTAACCATCTCGTTTGATGTTTGTTCTTTTTCTGTATGCAGGTGAACAATATGACAGAGCGCGACGCCTACAAACCAAAATGACAACAAATCTACTAATGGCAAAGGATCGGTTACAGTTATTGGGTATGATTTTGCTTTTGTTCTGTGTATTTGGATATTTTTTTGTCAAAGAGAAACTCTGAATAAGTGTGGTGTTTTTTTTTTTTTTTTTTTTTTTTTTTATACAGCTTTGTAACTTTTGTCTCAGTTTCTAAAGCTAAGGTGGCTTTAATATGACAAATGTTGTTCAAAAATTAATTTCATTTCAATATTTAATTTTGA